TTGCCTTATTTTAAATGAATTACTATCAGAATGCGTAGATTTTTTATCTAAACTAGTGGACGAAATAAATTACTAGGAACTATATGATTGTATTTTTTTTTATTTTTTTTTTTTGAAAAAACTTTATTATGAATCATAAATTAAAATTACATTATTAAGGGCATAAATATTTTTTTAAAATTATTAAATAATCTAGTTCTAACGAGATGAAATTATAAAAGAAAGAATATTTTCCATTTAAAAAAAAAAATAATATTTACTTAAAAAGAAACATTGAAAAGAGATTGTACAACCGAATCGTATATAATATTATATAGTTTTTTTGTATTTGATTTTAAAAATTATGTTCAAACAAAAAAAATTATGGAAATAATAATAAAGAAAAAAGAAGAATATGAGTCAAAATTAATTTAATTGCTTTGTTTTTTTTTTATAATTATAAATAATAAAAATAATAAGCAAATAGCTACTAAATTAACTATCATTATCATGATTGCTTTTGCTTCCGTGGTTGTTGCTGCCGTGATTGTTGACACCGTTAAAATTTCAACAACAGCCATAAAAAACAATCTTTTGTCATGTCTATCCAAATTATTACCATTTGGATCCGGTTCAGGTATATTACTATTATTATTATTATTATTGATAATGTTTTGGTGAACATGATAATGACCAGAATAAGTCTCGCTAGGAATGCTATGAACACTCGATTGTTCGTTAGAAGTAACATTATTTTGGTAGCTCATTGTGTTTTTTATTTTTGTTATATTAACATACGCGTATATAGAAGCAACAACTATCTCCGGATAAATAATAAGAAAATAATTTATTTAATCAAAACAGAAAAGAGAAAATGAAAATTAGGAAGAAAATAATTTATTTCAGAAAAGGAAAGAAAAAGAGAAAATGGGGAATGGGGAATGAAGAGAAGAGATGCGGGTTTTTTGTACATTTATTTAAACAATTGTGTAACCATACATACAAAATTACGTTGTAAATCACGTGATTGTGTTCATCAGGTGATATGTGTTTATTGTTTTCATAATAACTGGGAGTCAATTTTTTTCTTACACAAAAAAAAAAAATAATAATAACCATTTTTAATTTATTTACGCAAAAACTTTTTTGAATGGGAAAAATTATATTAATCTTTTTGTGTAATATAACAGGACCTTATTGGCACAGTCAGAGACATAAAATAGGACCGGGAAAACTCTATTGAATGTGACCGCCAACACTATGATTCGAAAGTACTTTAAAAAAAAAATGTGACCGCCTCACTATAGATTCGATTAATGGAAAATTCAAACTAAAAATAGTAAAAGAATTCCTTATGATTCACGCCAACGACATTTTACTACATACCCTAACTTTCAAGAATTTGTCAATGCTAAAAAAGTTATTTGCAAATGTGGTCAAATTATTTCACTTGGAATCAATTATCAAGTTGCAAACTTTAAAAGACATTCCGAGAGTAATAATTGTAATTTTTTAATAAATAATCAACCTAGTGTCAAAGCATTCTTTACAAAAAGTAACAACATGCATGGGTAGAAAAGCCAGCAGGATTTTTAGATCATTTATCATATATTTCTATTAAAGTTTATCTTCCAGTATCACAACGGTATTTTTCATGTGAAAATTTTGCAGGAGACATTACACCACGAGAAGTAGTTTATTTTTTGGGAATACATTCTTTACTCTAATATTAATGACATTAATCCTTGTTTGATTGCAGTAGATGATGAAACATTTTTAATTTATAATCATTTTAGTATGTCAAGTACACAAAACTTCCTTTAATTAATAAAGATAAATTTCATATGTCCTTGGCTGATTTCGATTCGCATTATTAATAATTTTTTAAATGTGTTCGGAAAATTGATTCGCATAATTATAAAAAACTAAGATTCGCATTAATATGATTTGCCATTTAATTTGGCGGTCACATACTATAGAGTTTTCCCGGTCCTATTCATGCCAATGTTTCTTTAATATTAACCAAAATATTATCTCTTTAACAGTCAGAGTATTCTTTAATGGTAACACAAATTAAAGTTTTGATCATTCTTATTGGTCAATTTAACAATCAGCAAAGTAAAAACAGTCAATTGACCAACTTTTAAAGAAGATTTTACAAAAACCACAAGGACAACAACTGGATTTTTATTTATAGATTAATCAGCTGAATCTCAAAGATCATTTTTGTATTAGAAAGTGATGCCTCAGAAAAAATTTTTTATATCAGAAAAATTTTATCAGCTATCAATAGCCAATTAACCATTTAGGGGATAAATATATACATAATAATAGAAATACAAAAATATCAAGGATCTAAATACATAATAATAATAAAACATTGAGGGGTCTACTTTACTCTGTATCAACAGTTGGACTATCTTGTAATAAATAGGGTATTGTGGCATAAGGTAGTAACAATCAAAATACCTCATAAAATTAGCAAATGTCTCAATGAATTTTATCACATCTGATGAAGGTGATGGTTGTACAGGGAATTTTGGACTAATGTCCCATGTTGCATTCCAAAAAATGGTTGTAAAGGCAGTTGCAGCCAGTGGTTACAATCATTTTTATATGACGCAAAGGTGGTAGCAACCATCATCAAAAGTTGCAGCCAGTATCCTTATTTTGGATTCATGTAGATGATAATATCAGCCATATACATAATAAGGATAGTTAGATGAATCTTGGAACCCACAACCCGCAAGCCAATAACTCCAATTTTTTCATTTTCTGGTCTGCACCCCTTGTGGTCCCAGCACATACTGTAATTTGTTTCATTGGATTCATGTAGATGATAATATCAGCCATATACATAATAAGGATAGTTAGATGAATCTTGGAACCCACAACCCGCAAGCCAATAACTCCAATTTTTTCATTTTCTGGTCTGCACCCCTTGTGGTCCCAGCACATACTGTAATTTGTTTCATGCCATAATTTTACTGTATCATTTTTCTCTTTCTGATTTGTACAGATCAAACATGAACACTTGGTACACATAATTTCATACTTTTTACTCCCATCATTCATCACAAACATAATGTCTGGCTGTTTCTCCAATCACCCTTTACTTTTTTTATCCAAACTGTCATTCAGCACTAAAAAATTCAAGTATATTATATATTTATTCCAAGTTATTATTAACGTACATTGTAATAAACATGGGCTTTCTATAAGGAAGGCTGCTTGAATTACCAGCACTATCATACTAGTTACATATGTGCTTTCATTTAACAATTCCCTTTCTTCACATGCTAACACTTATTGGTCAATTTAATAATCAGCATCAGTCAATCGACCAACTTTTAAAGAAGATTTTACAAAAACCACAAGGACAACAACTGGATTTTTATTTATAGATTAATCAGCTGAATCTCAAAGATCATTTTTGTATTAGAAAGTGATGCCTCAGAAAAAATTTTTTATATCAGAAAAATTTTATCAGCTATCAATAGCCAATTAACCATTTAGGGGATAAATATATACATAATAATAGAAATACAAAAATATCAAGGATCTAAATACATAATAATAATAAAACATTGAGGGGTCTACTTTACTCTGTATCAACAGTTGGACTATCTTGTAATAAATAGGGTATTGTGGCATAAGGTAGTAACAATCAAAATACCTCATAAAATTAGCAAATGTCTCAATGAATTTTATCACATCTGATGAAGGTGATGGTTGTACAGGGAATTTTGGACTAATGTCCCATGTTGCATTCCAAAAAATGGTTGTAAAGGCAGTTGCAGCCAGTGGTTACAATCATTTTTATATGACGCAAAGGTGGCAGCAACCATCATCAAAAGTTGCAGCCAGTATCCTTATTTTGGATTCATGTAGATGATAATATCAGCCATATACATAATAAGGATAGTTAGATGAATCTTGGAACCCACAACCCGCAAGCCAATAACTCCAATTTTTTCATTTTCTGGTCTGCACCCCTTGTGGTCCCAGCACATACTGTAATTTGTTTCATGCCATAATTTTACTGTATCATTTTTCTCTTTCTGATTTGTACAGATCAAACATGAACACTTGGTACACATAATTTCATACTTTTTACTCCCATCATTCATCACAAACATAATGTCTGGCTGTTTCTCCAATCACCCTTTACTTTTTTTATCCAAACTGTCATTCAGCACTAAAAAATTCAAGTATATTATATATTTATTCCAAGTTATTATTAACGTACATTGTAATAAACATGGGCTTTCTATAAGGAAGGCTGCTTGAATTACCAGCACTATCATACTAGTTACATATGTGCTTTCATTTAACAATTCCCTTTCTTCACATGCTAACACTAGATTGTTCCAGGGATTGTTCCTAATAGTGAGACATTCCATTGTCAATGCAAACATTTCTGATATGATGATTAGATTACAAAATACACTTACAATTTCCTTCTACTTCTCATCATGCAAAAATTCTTCAGATGGAACATCAACATCACACCCAACAAAGTTTTCCACAAACTCCTCACATTTATCCCATACAATTGGAGGAATACTATCAGTGAGCATGAGTTGCATTGGTTTCTGACAATAATTTAGAATTCAAGTTAATATAAAATCTCCTAATGGAGCCTTGCTTTTCATACATAAATCCAATTCAAAGACCACATAACTCTGGTGAATTTAGAATTCAGGTGCATTAGACATTCTCAAAATTACTTACCATAAAAGCTTTTTGTAATGCTATTCATCAAAAATTTTTTTCCTAAAATGATCATGTTTCTTTTATTTTTAATTGCTTAAGTTCTAGGAAATTTAGCAACATATATATATACATAATTTTCAGAACCTAAGCTATAAGCTGATATAAATTTCTTGTATACTTATTACCCTACTCAAATTAAATGTCTGCTTTTTTAATTTTCTTTATGTTTCAAAGTAGGGTTTTATTCTCCATCTTGAATTAGGATGAGATTTTATGCAATACTTAAATAATCCCACTAATTGAGGTCAGTAAGGATACTTACTATCAACTTTGATTGTGGCTAGTTTATTTTATTTTATTTTTTGTGTTTATTTTTGAATGCAGACAAGGAAGTTGAAAAATTGACTAAAAATAAAAATAAAAGTGACATTCATTTTGAGTAGGGTAATATTATGTGTGTTTTTGTCTAATCAATACATTTAGGTTCTTCAGTTCAAGCACTGTATAAATTAAAATAAATAGAATACAAATAAAACATCCAATTTTCTTTAACAGACAATACATTAATATTAATATAATTTTTTTATAGAATTGTGTCTGTAATATACATGAAGTCGAAACTATTTCAGCCGTTTGCAGATCTGGTCGAAATAGGGTCGAAACAAGATCGAAACCGATTTTTACTATGACAATAATAATAATAATGGTAATTATTCACCCTTATGATGATATTTTTTTAGATTCACAACAGATTGAAGAATATAAAATCTTGTAATTGTTTGTTCATTTTCAAACTTATATCTTTTACAGACTATACATGAAGTCAAAATTAAAACCCCAAAGTTGAAATGTTTTGACTCGATAAAACTTGGCGGAAAAGTGATGATCACCCAAAGATTATTGTACACTTGTTAGACCATATATGGTGCTATTTTGTCGATTACTATAATTATGAAAAAAACGGATCAAACAAAATTCTTTTTTTTATTTTATTTAGAAATGTTTTCACCGACCTTCACCACAGATTCTCGTTCAAAACATGCTCGTTTACAATCAATTGATTATCATATAAGACCACATTCAAAACGAAAGGTTGCTTACTTTCATCATAAAGAAGTTGGAAATTTTCATTTTGGTGTATGTTCACTTACTACCAACTACTCTTCTTTTTTTCATTAAATGAAATATGGCAAATAACTAAATCTCTTCTATAAAGACATATTTTTATTAGAAAACTAATACCTTGTATTATCAATTATTATATTTTATTTCATATATAGATGCAACATCCAATGAAACCTCATAGGCTAACCTTGACTAATGACTTGGTTCTCAATTATCGAATGCATGAAAAAATGAGTGTTTTTTGTCCAGAAAAAGCTACTGATAAGGATCTAGTCGAATTTCATGAAGCTGATTATATAAATTTTTTAAAAAAGTAAGTTATATATTTGTGCTAATGTTTTGATAATTTCAAATTCCAAAATCTTTTTTTTAAAAAAAATATTATTATTTTATCCATACATAATATATAAAGCTATATTATTAGATTTTTTCATTTTTAATCACTTTAATCAAAAAAAAAAAAAAATTACACAGGGTGACTCCTGATAATTCAAATAAATTTATAGATGAGTTTCAAAAATACAATATCAATGAAGATTGCCCAGTATTTGAAGGATTATATGATTTTTGTAAAATTTATGCCGGTGCCTCCATTGCAGCAGCAAATCGATTAGTAGCAGGTGGCGCTGATATATGTGTAAATTGGAGCGGTGGATTGCATCATGCAAAAAGACTTGAAGCTTCAGGATTTTGTTTTGTTAATGATATAGTATTAGCTACACAATATTTGTTAAGGTTAGTAGTGGTATAGTGAATATTTGACAAATTAAATTATTTTTAGTTAGTAAAATAAAATTAATTTTTTTTAAAAAAAACTCCCCTCCCTAATTTTATTAAGGTACTATCCTCGTATTTTGTATATTGATATTGATGTTCATCATGGTGATGGTGTACAAGAAGCATTTTATAATACTGATCGAGTGATGACTGTATCATTTCATAAATATGATAAAGACAATTTTTTTCCTGGGACTGGTAATTTGAATGAGATTGGGCAAGGTCCAGGAAAATTTTTCTGTCTAAATGTTCCATTGAAAGATGGAATTGATGATGATAGTTATGTTTCACTTTTTAAGGAAGTTATACAGGATGTAAATGATCGTTATCATCCAAGTGTAGTGGTTTTTCAATCTGGTGCTGATTCATTGGGAAAAGATAGACTTGGTGGATTCAATTTGAGTATAAAAGCACATGGAGAATGTCTTCGATTTATAAAAGAATGGAATCTTCCATTACTAGTACTTGGTGGCGGTGGATATAAAATACATAATGTTGCACGTTGTTGGACTTATGAAACTAGCATTTTGTTAGAAACAGAACTACCAACAGAATTACCAAAGAATTCAAAATATTTTCATTTTTTTGCTCCAGACTATTCATTACATCCAAATCTAATCAGAAGAGTAGATAATTTCAACACAAAATCCGAATTATCAAAATTAACTCAACTAGTTCACGAGCAATTAAGATTCTTAGATGGTGCTCCCAGTGTACAGATGCAAGAGATTCCTGGTGATTCACATGAATATTTGGAGGAATCTGAAGATGAAATAAGAGACGCCAGAGAAGAACATAATATCGATGAAAGTAGAGCTAGTAGACTTATATTACATGATAATGAATATTACGATGGTGATAGTGATCAAGATGAAGATTCTATGGAGATTGGACCATAATGATAATAAAATGGGGCTTTTGGTCCATATTAATCTAGAGAAAGGTTTAAAACATTAAAAACAATTGCATTATAAAAAAACATTTGTAATAATTATATGTATCTTATTAATAGATTATTATCATGTATTAAATATAAATAAATCTATTGAGAACTAATAAAAACACATGTAAAGTATATGTTGTTGTAATTTTTTTGTTAAGGCCATGTTCCACTTCTTTGTGTCATGAAAGCTTTGGATTCGGCAAAATCTACAACTCATTCATCATCCCATTACAAGACTTTCTGCCACTATAGTAATAGATAGGATAGGCAAAAGCATGACGGATACAAGTGTTCAGAATAGTATCATTTTCAAGCTTGGCATTTTCATTATTTAAAATTAAAGCAAAGATTCTTGTTCCTAGAAGTTTCAAAAGGCTTGTTATTGCTACCCAGATGCGTTTTACGTGTTTTGGAGAAAAGATATACTTGAAACTACCAAATTTATCTTTGACGTCAATTAGAAGTTTCCAATGTCCCAAGGAGAGTGCATCATTTTGTTTGTTTGTGTAATCTGTCAAAAATCTAATCATTAATTGAATTGTTATCCATATCTTCTTCATACTTCATCAAAATGGAAGAAAACAATAACTTGTCAAAGTTGTCCTTAGAACCGAGAATTGGAACAGCTCCTATTGATGTTAATGAGCAAGGAATAGAAATCTCTCAACCGTATTTATTGAATTATTAATAAATTAAGAATTTAGATCTGACATTAACGACAACAAAAATTATGTATATTAACAATTTACTGATCTATAATAATAATCATCATTGTGGTCATAATAACATTTATAACAATAACACAGTAATCTAGAATCTACAGAAAAACTTGCTCGTCAAATGCAAAAGGTATGGGGAGAACGTCAATTCCGTAATTTGACAATTGAATCTTTAGAAGCTTCTGAGGAAGACACAAAAAAAACTAAAGTAAAAAAAGAAGAAAAATCCAAAAAAGCTGTATCTGATTTAGAATTAATGAAAGATACTATTAAAACATCTATTGTGTAATTATTTTTTATAAATATATTTATATATACAGCAAGTTTCGTTTTTTATTATAATTAACTTAATAATTTGGGTTATACATAGACAATCATACAGTGAAATTAATGTTGGTATTGATGTATTAAATTTAATACTATCAGAAACTCGTCAGAACTTTGTTCCTACAAATCCACTTCCAATCCCGGCTGGTATAATCCAACACAAATATCATAGTTATACTCAACCAAATACAATTTCACAAATTCAGAACACAAAATTGATGTTGGGAATGAAGCGTAAGGTTGGGATTTTAATATTTTTAATGTTTATTCATTCTTTATTTTCAAAATTTTTACTTGAATCAAAAAAAATTATAATTTGTATATATATATATGTAAATATAGCAACTTAAACATGCAGCAGGTATCTTATCTTCGGCATCAGGAAAATTAAAAGATATAGTAGAGAAAGAGCGTACATTTTGGAATGAAGCTATATCGTTAAGACAACATCATTGGAGTTTGTTACGTACGGAAAATAAACAAATATTTGTTGATTATGGATATTCAGAAGGTTTGTGAAATCATTTTTTTTTAAAAATATTAAGATTTCAAAATTTTATAATAATTACATTATTAAATAATTCTATTATAATTATTTATTTTTCCTTCACTAAAAAAAAGCTGGATCAAAGTATCATGTAAAATCATATCCACAAATATTAAGAACGCCTGATGAAAAACAAATAGCAATATCACTACCACAAAAGCCAAAGAAAGCGGTGAAATTAATATTACAACAAAAATCAAGTGTTCAAGGTGACTCGATACAAGAGAATTCTTGTAAGTTTTTTTTCAGAAAATGTTGATAAATAAATAAATAAATATTTAATGAATATTGATTTATTCAAGTACCCCGTTCAGAACCGGTTGATCCAACAAATATTCATCAGCAACTTATTGCAGCTCAAAAAGCTATTTTTGAAGGAGAGTTGTTTGAAAAAGTATGTTGCATATTTAAATGTATATTATATATTATATGCCAATCAAATGAATTATTATTTAACTAGGGCATCTCGTGTGTGCATGTGTGCGCGCGCGTGTGTGTGCGTGTAATATATTTATTTATTTTTACTTTATGATTTGCAGCTACTGGAAGAAGCAATCTCAATACCGGGAATAAAAATCATCGAGAATGAAATATTTATTCAGATTTATGAAAATGTAGATTTGACAATTCAATGGGTAGATTTCTTAAATATAATATAATTATTTTGTTAAAGAAATATAACATTTATAATTTTATCATTTATGTGACAAGTAGGCTAATTTGGATACGCTTGAAGAATCTCAATCAATGGATGAATATATGTCACCTGGTTTAGAAACAAATAATTTTTTTAACGTAACTATTTCGCCAGAATCTTCAACATGTACTGTATTCAAATTAGCCATGGATTTATTGGTGAGAAGATTACATCGCAGAAATTTGCATGGACAACAAGAACGTATATTAAGTCTATTTAATCCTATCCAAAGAGAAGGGTATTATATATATAGATATATATATAATATTTTTCAAATTTATATTTAATTGTGTAATTAAATTTAAACAATCTTTTATAAAAATAGAAGTTTAATGATGTCAAGTACTCAAATTCTTAAACAACCGCTTCATCTACTTAAATACCATTTCTTTTGTAATCGTGTTCGTGAAATAGTCAATTCGATTACCAGATCGTTGAGAAACGGAGGCGTTCCATTACAAGTTCATTTCATATCTAATTTGGGTAGTGGAAAGGATTTAATCGATGAAATATGGAAAAAACTTGGAAATGACAATGTACCATTATTTATTGGAATGATGATTATAACAGTTGATCACAGGTAAAGATATGACACACACACACACACACACATATATATATTACATGAAATTAATTAGATTCATAATTCTATAAATGCATCTTATAGACATAGTTTACGATTTACTTTGGAATCACCAGAAACTGTGATAATTCATTTACCACAAGTCGACATTAGAACAAGAGATTTAACACAATTCCAAGATATACTTTCCAGGGAACTCACATTATTATTACTGAAAATAATCTATCAGTTATTAAATTATTTAATTGGCTTAAATGACTTGATATCAGATAATAATGATGGAAAATGGATTCTTGACATTGCAACTTTATCAATTTTCAGAGAATTGCCACCAATATTGACAACGAAATTGTCTGCTTCTTCTTCCATGGAAATAACAACACCACCATCAAAAAAGAAAATTGTTAATCAACCTGGTGGTAATATAGATGTTATGGAAGTGGATGATGATAATGATGATGGTGATAACAATAATAAAAATAATGGCAATGATCAGAATTCAAATGTACCAATAAAGTGGAATCAAACATATTGGAGAAGGCCCGTGTAAGTTTTTATTTTATCAAAGGGATCTTTATTATTATTATTATTATTATTATTATTATTATTATTATTATTATATTTTATTAAATTTTAATTTTCTTTTTTAAAAAAGAAAAATATCAATTCTTAATCAACATCCAACACCTGATAAATTAAGTGTAAAGGTTGAAACGACATGGGATGATGATAATATTCTTGAAGATGTATTGGTGATTGGTAGTAATGATGGCAGTAATGTTGGTGAAGTAGGAAAAAATTTAAGGAAAAAATTTAGTGAATTGATTTACGAGTTTTTAATAAAATTAATGTGATAATAATAGAATTCCTAATGATGATTACTAAGCAGTGAATTATTAGGAACGTAAAAAAAGCGCAGTGCGCATAATAATAAACATGATGATAGTGAACTAAATTTTGCAAAATAAACCAATTGTACAAAAATATCTAGACAGATTTTTATCACAATTATCACATGATTAGCAGCCCCCTATAATAAAAGCAGTGTGACCGAATAGTGCTATATGGGGCATACTGCAACAAAACCAGACAAAGTGAACATTGGTATTACCAAAGATTTCAGGGATCAATAGTGTTTGTTTAACATCACAATTGTATTATCAATGTAAAGTGATATTTGTCTTTTTGCTTAGGATCATCTTTAGATAAAAATAGTTAATATGAAACTAATTTACATTAGGTCTACTATGGAACCTAAGAATTATAGTACCATCAGAAATATTTTGAAGAAAGAAAAAGGATTACTTATGAAATTTACCAAGAAAGAAAAATCATAAACATTAAGAAAAGAAAGCAGAATGAAAGTACACTGTTATCCAACAAAAAGCAGAAACCTTTGGAAGAAAAATAATTTTATTATTAAATATTGATATATATTTTTTTTTCCTTTTAATTCTTTTAACAACATAAATCAGAAATTATAAAACCCAAAAAAGTTATACCTGCTATTCACAACCCAATAGATTTACCATCAAACTTTTCTTCATTCTTTGAAGTATTGTTTTTATTAAAGATGGGAGCCACAATCCCTTTGTCAGTCCACAATTATTATTGGATAAAATTTTCAACCAAAAATATCTTAACAACCATTGAGTAAATTTGATGAAATGACAAGGATTGCCTTCCAAAACTCATGGGTTTTAGAGTTATTCAAAATTAAATTTATTCTAAACTAGTTTAGAAAATGAGTTCAAATTTCTAAACTGTATGAGGCCTTAAACTGTTTTTAAAATTAATAGCAGAGAGATGAAACACAGCATTTAGATATTAATCTCTATTAATTCACTAGTGTCTTTATTGTTTGATATTATAAATAAAAAATAAAACCATTAGATTAAGAAGCTAGAAGTTGTCAGTTATGTTTAAAATACTTAGACTTGAATTTGGTTCATTTTTATTGTAAAATAGTAAATTATAAATCACGGGAAACGAACATATAAATCGGAAATGATTTACATGTATCACGAAGTGA